AAAAAGTTAGTTCTAGGATTCTTTTTTGAAAGCTAGTCACCTGTATAAAACAAATACATACAAAAGAGCTATAGCTAGTCACCTATAGGAACTCAACCAGTGAAGTAATATTTATCCCTTCCACTCCACCCCACACTACCCCTTTCCAAAAAAAAAAAGTTAGTTCTAGGATTCTTTTTTGAAAGCTAGTCACCTGTATATACAATGTCAACAGTCATCCCCAAACAGCCACCTCATTCTGGGTTTAGTAATTCTAGGAAAGCCCATGACATCACCATTCATGGCCTTCTGCTGAATTCCTACCATGCAGCTATAGGTACTTTCTATGTATCTTAGTGTATCTTGAAGCCAGTAAAATTAAATTTATGAAGAAACAATACCTATTAGCAGCTACCTTTAATCAGAAATGTATTATTTTTTGAAAGTAATATTTATTAAATACTTAATAAATGCTATATTATCTCATGTAAACATCCAACAACCCAATGAGGTTGGGTTATCCCCACTTTACAGATGAGGATACTGAGGCTTAACAGTCTCACTCCTAATAAAGAGCAGACCACAAATACTGCACTGTACCACAGACAAGAAAATAAATGTGATCTAAACATCTAGAATTGAAAAGGAATCAGGCAGTAAGCCTAAAGGCAATTTCTCATATATAGCTATTTTAAATACCTAACCAACAGAAGGCAACTTATAAAATATCTGTGTGTATTTGTTGAGTTTTTTCATGGAAATTGTATGAGTAGGTAGGCAGGTAGGACATTATGAGAATTGACAAAACTCTACTTCACCTGTAAGTGAATGTTAAATGAAATTAGTGGTATATATTTGATAAGTTCTAACATATTGCTGTGTTAAATGAATGGATTTGGATTAGATTATTTTTAAGGTCCCCTTAAGCAATAAAATTCCATTACTGTAAGACAAACTGAGGTACATAACTTTTTTCCTTGACTTTAACCATAAAGTAAATCCTTACCTCCTAAACTGATGTTTCTGATTATTTAAAGATTAGTACCATGATTAAGTCCTACACCTGAAACACATATAAAAACTGTCCCAGTTCTAAAGGTTACATTTTTGGGTTTAGGAACTTTGTATTTGTACACTGATTCTATAATGTACTAGGAGTAATTTTTTTGTCTGCTCAGAAAACATTTCCACATCCCTTTTAGGATACAAATCCTGTCCCCCATAGGCACGTGACATATGTTGACCAATCATAATATCCCACTATCCTAAACACAGTGATTAATTCAAAGATAGGCATATGACAAAAGCAGAACCTTACCTGAAATTAATATGCTGACACTAGGAAAAAGAGGGTTTTTTCTTCTAGCGTTCTAAACTGAATTAATATAGGCTTGGGACTGTTGATGCCTGCTTTCCTTCCTAGCAATGGGAAGTAAATCTACAGTAAAGCTTAAGAAACTGAAGCCAAATAGAGAGACAAGCAGAAATGAGAGAAAAGAGTGAAACAAAGTCCTAATGACATCCATTTGGTCCTTAAATCCATTCCAGTTCTTCCAGGTTAAAAAAGCCAATGCACGGAATTTTTGCTTAAGCTTGTTTCAACTGGCTTTCTGACATTTTCAAACAAAGAGTCTCCTTTGAACTAAGCCAGAGATGACAGGTTTTAACATGAGTGCCAACACTCAATCTTGGCAGGGACTGCCTTTAGCACTGTGATGAGAGACATTCTGAGGTTTGCTATGGATGAAAACTACAATGACTTAGTAATGGTATCTGCCATGAGTAAAGGCAGCACCACATGCCACATGCTTGTCAGCCCCTGGTTGTCCAGTATCTTAGGAAATGACACTGGCAATATAAAGCAAAGTAGCAGTAAAGGAGCCCAGAAAGCCAAAGTAGAGTGGGAAATTTACATCAGGGAAGAGATAAAATGCCATTAAAAAGTGCCAATCAGGGCCGGCCCCATGGCTCACTCGGGAGAGTGCGGTGCTGGTAGCGCCGAGGCCACGGGTTCGGATCCTATATAGGGATGGCCGGTGCGCTCACTGGCTGAGCATGGTGAGGACGACACTGAGTTGAGAGGGTTGCGATCCCCTTACTGGTCAGAAAAAAAAAAAAAAAGCCAATCAAAATAAAACCTGCCTTGATTCTGAACACATTTAATGTTCCAATTATTCTCTGGTTTAATATTCTAAGAAAAATATTGATTCACTTCAAGCTCATTCTCTGTATTCTTTCTTTTTGCTTAAATATACTCTGGATCATTTATGACTCAAGGAGAAAAAAAGGTTTGGTTCATCAGTTTAGGTTCACACTTCAGCTCACACTGAGCTGAGAGGGTTGCGATCCCCTTACTGGTCAGAAAAAAAAAAAAAAAAATGCCAATCAAAATAAAACCTGCCTTGATTCTGAACACATTTAATGTTCCAATTATTCTCTGGTTTAATATTCTAAGAAAAATATTGATTCACTTCAAGCTCATTCTCTGTATTCTTTCTTTTTGCTTAAATATACTCTGGATCATTTATGACTCAAGGAGAAAAAAAGGTTTGGTTCATCAGTTTAGGTTCACACTTCAGCTCAGGTCCCTGAGTTTCAAGGCATTTTTCTAATTGAAATTTTTTTTTGAGATAATTGTAAATTCACATATAATTATAAAATATAATACAGGGAGATTGCTTGTATTCTTTGACAGGTTTGCCACAATGATAACATTTTCGCAAAACTACAATATAATGTGACAACCAGGATACTAACATTGACACAATCTACCAATCTTATTCATATTTCCAACTAAGGAATGTTTAACCAGTCAGTGCATCCTTGTTTTCATTCTATCAACTCTTCTAAATACTCTGTATAAAATGTCTATTTACTCCCCAATAGTTTTTTACCCCTCTTACCTAGTCTTCACTTATAATTTAATCTATTTATAAGGAATTTTAGGGTTCCATGCTATTCTGTACTTATGTTTCTCAAAATCTTCATTCTCTCTACATATCTATACTTAGTTCTAATTTTTCCAAAGCAGGGGACTTGGTATCAAGAATCCTAGAACTGAATCCCAGCTCTGCCACATACTACCTTAGGCAAAATATTTAACCTTTTGACATTTCCTTCATCTGTTAAATGGTAATAATAGTACTTACTTCAAAACGTTGCTGAATGGGCCGAGCCCGTGGCGCACTCGGGAGAGTGCGGCACTGGGAGCGCAGCAGTGCTCCCGCCATGGGTTCGGGTCCTATATAGGGATGACCTGTGCGCTCACAGCGCTCACTGGCTGAGCACGGTGTGGCCGGTCTCAAAAAGGACAAAAAAAAAAACGTTGCTGAAGATCAAAGTGTGCCTCCAAGTGGTTGGCACAGTACATGGCACGGGGTAAGTGCTCACTAAACATTAACCATAATTATTTGGTATTCCCCTAATGAAGACTTTTCTAATACCAAATCCATCCATTCCAACCTCCTTAATACCCTAACCTCTCCATTATATGCCCATTTGTTCATTCATGCAACGAAAATGTACTGTTTACAAATAGAGAAAATAGACTAATCAAATATAGAATTTTTTTCACAAGTACACAACTATTAAAATTTAAGGTAGACAGCAACAATGCAAAAAAATATATATATAAAGTTCTCCAGCACTTTCGATGGAGGAAGTAATTCATAACCTGGCTCTTTAAGAGTTCATTCATTCAACATATAAATGGGAACATGCAGGATAGTAAAGAAGTGGGATCTAGCACTTTCTAAAGTAAGGACATAGGACAACTAAGTTTCTAAAAGAGAAAAGGGGTATAGGAAACAGCAAGCAGTTCACTGACCACAGTGAAGGTACCAGAGTAGGAATAATGGAAAGTTAAGACTAAAAATGGATTAGCACTAGATCCTTAAAGGGCTTGGACTCCAAGTTCAGAGTTTAACTTTCATTCTAAAATTCTAAGACTTATGAGCAATGCATAATTATACAGTCAAAGCATGAGTGTGCTAAAACACGTAAAATGGATTGGAGAAGAAATCTCTACTGTGCCAGTATGAGAAACCTGCAAATTAATCAGTCAAGTGGAGTAAGCACGGAAAGAAGGTATGAAGGGAGAAATTACTAACACAATTGAAACAATGAGATTTGAAAATTAATGAAATTTGGGAAGAAGAAGAAACTAAAGATGATATAGGTTTCAAGCCTTAGTTCTGTGGACTGCACTGAAGAAAAATGGCTCCCAGACTTCTCTACGAATCACTTATCCATTTTCCTAAATTCTATACCATAATTTTTACCTGTGGAGTGAAATAAATATCTTACAGGAACATGGTATAATAACTAATAAATAGATTAAAGAAATCTGAAAGACTGTAAGTATGCTGACCAAGGGAGGATAATGGGTTACTTATATATAGTTCCTCATAACATGCTTATTAAAAGTAAAATTTGAGATTCCTCTAATCATTTGCTCATAAAAACAGAAACCAGGATTCCTATATCCACTTGTTCATTGGTACATTCACAATGTCTAGGTAGAATAGTGTCTACTGTATGTACTGTTACTATTCGATAAATATATTTGTTGAATGCATGTGTGAATGAGAAAAGAAAGAAATTACAAAATTTTAAGAAAGGTTCCACATTGGCCTCAATGCTCTGTGGGTTCACTATTCTCTTCCAGTTTTCCTTTTATCAAAATGTCCTGTAGCTAACTACACTTTCAAATATCTAAACAAACTGTAATAGGTTGATTTAGCAAAGGTTATAATAACCATTTTAGGTAAAACTAAATATTAACTATTAAAGGCCAAAACAAAAATCTTAATTAAACATACCACAGAAACAAGGAAAATAATATCTAATATTTTACATGGATTTTTAGGTTTGGCTCCATTTTACAGTTTCAAAATATTACTCGGTTCAGAAATGTGATATAAAGTTAAAATTAATCCCTACACACATGAACTTAAAGGCAAACATATGTGTTACTGGATGGGAAATTTGAAAATGTTTCCTTACAGAGTTTATCATCTTACCAGGTCTTTCTCTCCCAGTGCCTTTTGACTCGGCAAATTTTTGTATTAAACTTTCAACCGTAGTGTTAGCCATGTTATTTATAAATTCTTCATGGACCTATCAAAATAAAATAAAGATCAATTTTTTCTTTTTCCACATTCTTACTGTATTTCAAATAAAACTTACACAAAACAATTAAAATGCATTACACCAAAATATGTATTTTTTGATTCAAAGGCCTTTGAGAACTTTCATTTACCTAACATGCTCTGTTTCCTTACTTACAGTGTTAGTAGATCTCTGGGGACCAACCACTGCTTACATTATTAAACCCCTTGAGATATGGCCTCATGAACATAGAAGTCAAGGTAGTTTCTTGTTTCCATTTTTGAGTGTTTTAGAGACATAATTCTGATGATAAATAAAACTTATAGAGACAATGAAAATAGTTTTGGATTTTTAGTTGTAAAGAATAACAGACTTCATCTTTCTTGACTGTATTTCAGAGCACCCCAAATTGTCATCAATAAACCTCTTTTATATTTTTGAACATTTCTAAGTACAAGTTCTATAACTTACTAGAGCTGCTCTAAATTTAAAAATAGTGAAACCTGGAAAAGAAATATTCAAAAATTGGTAACTTCAGAATTTTAACGTAATGGGGAAAGAGCATAGCTAATTTAAAAAATCAATTTTAATTATTATTCTTGGTTGCCAACCAAATACCAACTTTATTTTATATTTAATACATGTAAATACATATTCTTTATCTAAAATAATTCAGTATCATACTTATGGGTTTCAGATACAGTGATAAAAGATTTTTAAAGAGCCATAAATTACCATAAAATTTTCATGAGCCAGTTCAACATAAAGTAAAAAAAACTCACCTGGCCTATTTGCAAATGAATTTCCTTTACAGCATTTGACAAGGATCCTATAATTTCCTTTATGTGAATGAGATGAGTTTCTTCAATATCCTGAAATTTCTGTGTAGGAAATACAAAAAGTGACATATAATATATAGATAGAAACACATACATATATATATATATATATACATATACATATATATATATTCTGGAAAGAGCTTTTAGAAATCATCTTAACAGTTAACCAAATTTAGCAAGTTACCATTATTATATAATGTTTAACAATGCCTCTAGACAAATGGGTCTAGTAGATACGCTAAAAAGACAGCATCAAGAAAAATTAACTTATGAACTTTTTCAGAGTTTGAAGATACTACAAGTAAAAATCTACAATCATGGTCAGAAAACTAGGAGACTCAGAACAGAATAGTGTTACAAAAGCCATGGGAGTATACTTTCAAAAACTGAAAAACAACTAGTTGGCATAGCATAAACTACACTTTACTTCTAAGGACTTTATAATCTAGCCCATAGATTCTCAAAATGTCTTTCTAATCCTTGAAATGTTAATACACAATCTCTAAAAGAAATAATCTGTGATCAAACAAATTTGGGGAAACCTGTATACTCTATCTCAGCAATTCTCAATCAAAGGTAGAGATGCATCAGATCACTGGGGGAATGTTTTCAAACTACAAAACACACAGATCCTCCATTACTGCCTGAGGAACAGGATTGGGAAAAGGTGAGAATGTTGTTTGGAAAAAATGTCCAAGTTACTCTGATATTTAGTCCCCAGAGATAAAACCACTGTTAGCCTTGGTTTCACAATAAACATATTAAAAAAACTGAGATACTAACATAACACAACTTGTTTCATTTTGCTTAACCCAGCATTTTCTAAATTGCTTTGACTTCACAACATTTTTT